ATGTCGAAAATTTCATGTAATTTTTATGACCACATAAATAAACAAATGCAGTAAAAGCAGCGTAATGTCAGTTCATGCATTGTATTAATGATAATTTTGTCCTTTTTAGCAAGTAATATTACACCATATTTTCGACATGATTGTAGTGCATCCACTTTGACATGATATCAAAATTATTTTTTTGCTGTGTACACTCCGACGTTTTGTGTTGTTGGCTGCACCTAGAGCATCTATCACAATTTTTGCAATCCATGCTCTTGTGTCCAAATTCTCCACATTTGAAGCATCTCAACACATTAATCGCGGGAACAACAGCGAATTTGTAACTTACCATTTATCTAGGATAAACACCTTTGTTCGGCACCTCCACTGGTTCTCCATGTCCGCTATCTGTCACTGTTTGCAAAATATCTAATAGCAAGTACCTTCCAATACCAATACTTCCTGGGAGGAGGGTCGCATCTAGTGCTTTCCCCAGGAACCGTTCACGGCCACCAGTTACTGCCCGTCCAGTCATGGACGTACCCAGCGAGGCATCCTTCAGATTACTTACTATCTCCGACACTCAATGCAAATCGCAGGCACACTTACGCTAGTTACAAAAAAAAAACACACCCGTGCAAAGAAACGGATCAAATAAACGTCACTCTCGCGAAAGCACACCCGTCGTCGTCGAACGGCAAAAAAAAGGAATCGGTGGGCAATTTTTTGATACGGATTTCCAAAATCAACCGGGAATGCACGCATTTCACCTAGGGTTACCATATCAAAAACTTGAAAAGGAGGACATTTTATTTGAGGTTTGGAGCTTAAGGAGGACAATGATACCTTTTCTTAACATTAAAGGAGGACAATGAGTTTTTATCAAACGTTTTAATAATATGTGCGATATTACAAAATTCACGATTTGCACAGGTTCAATTGAGATTTTAAATATATTGTAGTCGTAACCAGTTCAATTCATCTTCTCGTTATACTTCTGAAAAATGCATAAAACTAGCCTTCATAATTCATTTTTGATACTTGGAAATGATCTCGTCTAGCTTTTTTTTTTAAGGCTTTATTAAAGAGATTTTTAGCCTTAAGCTAGTTCATCTCTAATCTCGTCTAGCTGATTTGCATGAAAACTACAGTTTTACAGCCTTAAAACCATCCCAACATGTACAAAAATCAGGATACATGTCATCGCTCATTGACACCAACATGAAACATCAAAGCAACCTGTTTATTTTATCAAAGAGGCGCGTTTAGCGTTCTATACAAAAGAATTCCTATGATTGATATTATTCCTTACATTTCGCGCTTCGCGGGCCTCTTCGCTCTCAGTATGGCAGCAGCCTAAACAAATCAAGCGTAACTATTCAAATCGACGTATCTGCTTTTGTAAACAATCTCTTCAATCGACGATTTGTCTTAAATGCTAACTCACCCACGCAAACAAACACCATCATCAGGTAGGGAATCTTTCCCAGATACGTCGATTTGAATAGTTTTGCTTGAAATATCTAAAATTCCATAGAACCAGAACGTCAAAATCGAATACATGTTGGAATCAATCTGTGTGTGGCTGTGTTGCATTTGGTGAATTTTAACTTAAATTTGACGTATAGATAATTTTCTAATAAACCTGCTTTGTACCAGACATATTTCTGGCAGACCAGGAATCAATTTTGACAAACACCTTCTCGAAAATCACACGATCAACAACAGGGAGAATTTATTTTCGTCAAATTTAAGTAAGAATTCAGAAAAAGGGACCACAGTCTAAGGAATCAAATAAGCTCTGCAAACAACGCTCTTTGAAAACAATTTAATGAATATGTTACTGGAAAAATACAAGGATCTAAAAGGAGGACATTTTCGGGCAAAAGGAGGATGTAGAAAAATTATTGAAAAACGAGGACATGTCCTCCTTTAGGATACCATATGGTAACCCTAATTTCACCACACCCAACTACGAAACACGTTCAGAAGCACTTTTGGTACACTTTCGTTCGAAAACACTTATTTTTTTTTCAAAAATAGTTGCGAGTGAACCAACATCATCACCGCGTAAATAAACTAAAATTAAAATTATCGCTCGCGATGCCACAAATTTCTGGACCGGGAGAAAAAATCAAACAACGCAGATAGCGTCAAATCTTCTGTTGCTTGCAAACATGATAATTCATGTTTTCTTTCTCAATTCTAAAACCATTGGGCTGAACCCCGCAATTGAGGGAAAAGTACTTAATATTGGGTAGTTTTTCATCTACGTGCAAGCGAGTTATTAAGGGGAGGTTCATTTGGATTTGGTCGAAAATCGTGCAAAATTTGCGAATTTTTTGTGGGAAAACGAAAAGACATACAAACTTGTGCTATTGAGTTTTATTGCGTCATACATTGATGACTACAAAAGGTTTTTTGTTTTTGAAAAATTTTAAATGGCGGCTTCAAAATGGCGGATCTTGTCGGCCTCTGCGCACGAAACAATATTCCGTGCTGTCAATTGTAGGGCCTTCCGTGGTAAACTAAAATGAGTAACTGTAATATATTATGGAAATACATAAAATTTCCTACGGCATATACCTAACCTAAACAAGTTTTTAACGAAAAAACCTAACTTTTTGGACATTAAAACAAAAGTTATTTTTTTCTCTTTTTTTATACTTTGATCTCGTTTAAAAATTATAAAAAAAAAACAATTTTTCGTGCCAATAATAGGTATAAGCCGTAAAGAAAAGTATTCACTTTAAAACTATGTTTAAATGAAGCGAATCGGATGAATAGAACAAGATTTATCATTGACAAGAGTTCTCAAAACATGGTTCCGAGAAAAACGCGTTTAAAGTTTTTGGCGGACATGGGTTCGTTCGTGACATGGGTCCGTTCGAGACGCTCTAAAATACGTATTGTATCGGAATATCCTTTGACACATATATTCTACACATGTGTAGTTTTCATTTTATGTAAAAAAAAAAATCGATTTTTTCGACAAAATCTAAATGAACCTCCCCTTAACAAAAGAGAAAATCGATCATCGCGGTTACGATGAATGACGAATTTTTAATCTGTGATAGACATGGAAGTCACTTTTTTCCCACCACAGAAACGCTCAGTGTTCTTATGCCAAATGATGCATGTGCGTCTACAAAACGCGAACGAAGTTGAATCGCTGTGGAAACCTTATTTCTGATCAATCTCATTACCACATAAAAATTTCAAGAGCACGAATATCAGCTCTCACAAAACTTATAACAAAGAAACTGGAACTTCACGTTTGCTGCAGTGCAGTACACAAGATGTCATGAGTGATGTCACAACCATCCAAGATGTATGCCCTAGAAATCTTGAAGTGGTAGGGAATATCAATGATGGCTGATATCAATATTGGACGTTCCAATGAATCACCTGAAGAAAGCCTTACTCATATCTGATTGTAATTTAGGAACCAAATGTAATAGAATATGTGTTCGCATTTTTATGAGGTCCTGAATTTAACCAAGTTTTACTAGGTAGGAAATCCAAAATATATACCGAAATCATAGGACCGAAATCATAGGACCGAAATCATAGGACCGAAATCATAGATTACTTCTACTGTATGTTAAATCAATATCTAAAAAAATGCACGAGAATGTCACTACACAGCTTAACGTAGTCTACGTCAACCATGCGGTCGTGTCTTATACACAACCCACACAACCGCACCATTTTTTGTTTAATTTCTACGTTGAAGCTAGGTATCGGATTCTCCACGGAGAAAACTGAGTTGGTCGTTTTTTCTAGGAAGCATAGCCCAGCAGTGGTGGGGAGCTCTTCCAGAAGATTTTCTAACGTTGTACCGGACAACGATTTTATCTGTTTTGTTTTAGAGTACGGTAGTTTTTGTTTCCATTCGGCGGCTAAAACGCACATCATCAAACTGGAACGTATCCAGTTTTGCTGTGTTGGTGGGCATGTTCCCACTCTCTGATCGGTTTTCGGAATTGTCCCTCAGGCTCTTCTCCCGGTGTGAAATTATGAACCCACTGATGATTGCAAACTTTGAGAAGCTTCTTGAGCTAAAGCCTCAAACTCGTTTTATGTCATTGTACAGGATGTCAGCCCTTCGCAGCATAGTCCCTATCGTGACGCGGGAGATTCGTGAGATCCCAGAGCATCATCGTTCCATGATTGTTCCGTCAATGCTGCAAAGTTTGTCCGAGTTGATTCCGCAAAATCGTTCTTCACAGATGGATCACTAATAGAGGCGTCCGCTGGTTTTGATATTTACCACGAATTTCATAATGAATGCTTCAAGCTCCTTGTTCCGTATATGTTGCTGAGCTGGCTGCAATACATTATACGCTAGAAACTATCGCCATTCTTGCACCAGATCATTATTTTATTTTTAACGGATAGTCTCAGTTCTGTCGAGGCTATTCGCTCCATGAGGCCGGTAAAGCAGTCCTCGTATTTTCTCATGAAAATACGAGAGCTTCCAAATGCTTTATCTTTAAGATCTTTTGTCATCACCTTTGCATGGGTCCCATCTCATTGCTCGATTCCGGGCAATTAGAAGGAGGACGTGTTTTATCCCAACCATTGGGATCCAGTATGTTTTATCCCAACCTATGTTTTACTATGTTTTACCTGTGGAATCTCTCTATTCATCGCATCCTTTCATTAGCATTATAGCACTTTTGAAGAGTCCAGTTTAATTTACAAATCGCAATACCTAAGTTTTCATTATTTCGATGCTACAATTAATGACGGATTTCTTCGAGTAAATAGGGGACATCCCGGCTTAGGTACTTTACCTTTTATCGCCAGGGCGGTAAATGAAGTCTTTGAGCGCTGAGTATTGTATGAAGTTGCATCATATTTTCCAGAACATCGTTTTGCAAAAAAATAAACATTCTAAGGCTTCAATTACCACCTGACGATAATAAGTAAAGAAGTACCGAAGCAAACATCTCCCCTTTGTTACAATCACTAAACCATCTAATATTCTCTTTTTCTTTTTTATTTCATTTCAGTACAAGCACTACAAATAGTTTATTTTCTTCGAATTCTAATACGGGTTCCTCGTTAAGTAGTATTAGTAGTAGTAGTAATACTCCGAATGCTCCTGGTCCACCGTCCTCTAAGGACAACATTAAGGTAAGTTTTTATTATTGCAATAAGATTTACAACTGTTACCCTGTTGTTTTCTAAATTTTTCTCAATCAATTAACGAATAAGAAATTTGAGTACAAAATAATTCTTGGTGTCATTACTGATGTTTTATTTACTATTTGTTTGTTGGATTGAATGGTACTGGAAAGGATGTTTGGCATAAGAACTTAGGCATAAAGACATTTGTCATAATCAACACTTGACACAACGGACATTTGGCATTATAATTATACATTGGCTTATTTTTAAAACAAAAAGTAATTTTACAATCAATGATTATTCCTTCTTTTAATTACTGCTCGTTCTTTCACAGCATCCAAATTGGTATTATGCTTTAATTTTCTTGTTTTTTTCCTTCTTTTCAACATAAGCTAAATAAAATATCCTGCTTTATTGAATAGTCCACTAACTTGATATAGAGGTAAGAGGGGCATAGTGAACAGGGTAGACATAATGAGCATCCAGCATTCCAGTCCCAAAACACTAATTTTTCCTTAAAAAATAATTGCTAGTAAGTTCGATATTACTATTGTAAGTTGTTTTGAACCTCAAGGCTAAAGCACAGGAAGCTCACTATTAGACTGACCCACAAAAAAAAAGGTTCTAATTTTCCACAAGCCAACCCTTAGATTTGTTCCTTTAGGTGAGAAAACCATTATCCGAAAGTTTCAGCTCATTTGGTTCTAAGATGAGCTGGCGCTTTTAGTTTGAATTTTGTTTGGGGAATTTGAATAAAATACATGAAAAAATAACACTCATACACTCATCATCATAAATCATAAAAAAGTTTCTTTATTCTCGATTTGATTCAGATTTTCAAAACTTCAGTTCAGTAGTTCAGTTAATGAATAACAACTTTGCAGAAGATTGCAGCATGAATCCAGTTAGCTTTATTGAGATATTCGCTTTGGAATGTATATGAGCATTTTGCAAATTAAAATTTCAACCAAATCTATACGAACATTAAACCAAAAGCACCAGTCCGTGTAACGTAAAAGAAAGCTGAAACATTTTTTTTATAGTCACTTTAACACTCTTGGGTTATTCGTGACTTGTCCGGGGGTGAGATTTGAACTCGTGACTTTGGCGTGAGAGGCATGGATGTTAACCACTACGCCGGGGTCGCCCCCAAGATGAAACATTCAGAGAGTGGTTATCGCACCAAACGACACGAGCCTGGATGTTGGCCTGTGAGAAATATGAACTTTTATTTGTAGTAGTAATCTAGTTGATACGTTGCATAAGCTTCCTGTATTTTGTTGCAATATACGAGCTGAATGCACATAATGAATTAATATCTCCATAATACTAATTTGAATCGTGACGCTGTCTTCAGCAAAGTTCTGAAATTCTGAGCTTAATCGAGTTTACTGAACCAATTCTATGCACGAAAGAGTGAATGAATGTTATTTCTCCATAAATTTCAACCACTATCGCCATATAACCAATACCACTGTATTACCACAAGAGTTCACTGTATTACCACATATCACAAGTCACTTAAAACAATAGGATGCTGCACGTGATGAATCCACATTTATCTGTTTGACATCTAGTGGTGGTTTTGTTTACCTTTGCCTGTTAGTCGATTCAAGCGGATCGGACCAAAAGATATGTTATACGACTGTGTTCTTTAAAAAAATCCAAAAAAAAAACATTTCAAAAAACAAATCAATTTATTTTTCTAAGTCCATGTAAACAAACTACCGCCAGATGTCACAAAGTGAGGTAGCCTGACGGTGCAGTAGAAAGAAAGAACACGCAGAAATTAAAGAAGGAACATTATTACATTGTAAATAAACTCTTACTTTGAAAAATCGTCGATTCAGAGCGAATATGCCAAATGTCCTTATGCCAAATATATTAGACCTGAGTGACGCTAGATACATGTTGCTACATAATTTTTCTTCTCTTTTCTCGATGCAAACATTATTTTGTAACACTGGGAACAGAATAAACCTGCAGTACCAATCATAATACATTCATCATCACAGATCTCTTCCGCGGCGGCCGCAAACAACTCACAGTTATCAAACCTCCAACACTCTACCTCATCTAGTGGTAGCAGTAGTGGCGGTAGTGGTAACAGCAATAGTTCCAATAGTAGCAGTACCATTTCCAGTTCCAGCGGAAGCAGTAGTAATTCAGCGAATAACGTATTGAAATCGCAGCTACAATCTACGACGCCACCGTCCAGTTTACTGAATGTGTTGGCGTCGCGTACATTATCTGCGACTGAATCGTCATCTTACGGAAGTGCTTCATCTTCAACATCGACCAGTGGTTCACTGTTATCCAGTGGAGAGTCAAGTTCGGTGTTGTTGAAGGATGACAAGACCAGCACCAGTCCTCCTCCCGCAAAACGCCACAAATTTGATCCAAAAGATATGGTGGACGTGTGTGTTGGAACATCTGTTGGTACAATAACTGAACCAGACTGTCTAGGTCCATGTGAACCAGGTACGTCTGTTACGTTAGAAGGTATTGTTTGGCATGAAACCGAGGGAGGAGTGTTAGTTGTTAATGTAACATGGCGCGGTAAAACATACGTCGGTACTCTGATAGACTGTACAAAACATGACTGGGCACCACCACGGTACGTTGCAGTTGTTGTTTAATTTGAATTATGCGCTATTTTGTCATTATTTCATTTCAGATTTTGTGATTCACCAACTGAAGAGTTGGACTCGCGAACACCGAAGGGACGAGCTAAACGTAATCGCGGCTCAGCGTTGTTTCCCGTTAACGACCTTAGTAATTTCACCGAAACCCGAAGCTCTGTGAGTTATGAGTAACATTTTCACTTTTATCTCATTTTGATCGATAAACTAACGCAGCAAAACTGAAAGAACATTTATAAAAAAAAGTAGAAGGGTCTGTGCCTAGGGGCACGAACGGAAGCTTAACGTAGGAATCAATCAAAATCACTTGCTTTCAAGTTTGGTTACAAGATTACAACTCTGGAGAGGATTTTATATGGTCGTTGGGGGCTTGTGGTTCTGAATATGGACAAACAGGCAGTTGAATCCTATTCCTACACTGAGGAAATAAATCGTTCGAATTTCATACGAAATGCTTATGGATTTTAACCAAAAGAATTTGTTTTGAATTTCATACGATAGCATTATGAACGCACGCCTTCGTTATCGTTTATGATTTTCGCTATATATTGATATGAGTTTAATAAAGCTGCGTATGAAAATAGTACGTTATGATTATGAAAACTATATTTCATTCATATGGATTTTGAATGACTGGAATACGGAATATAATCGTATCAACTGTGAAATCGTGAATATTTATGCTCCTTCAGATTTTGTTTTAATTTTCATGTGAAATTAATTTAATTTAGTAAAACAAATAATTAAATAATTTGATTTGCATTGTTTATTTGATTTAAACTGCAGCTAAAATAAATCAATTGAAAAAATGTATTAGTTTATATTAGCACGAGACAATGCCTGAAATATTTTTTGCTTGGTCCACGTTATTAAGGCTGCCGTATTTACGCCACACTCTGTAATTTTAGTCGAAATTCATTGATTAAAGGAAGTGTGAAAAATATGCTAATTTGAACCCGGAACATCCTTTTACACTGAATTTAGCGTTTTTTACCTCTGAATACAGGCAAAGCTTCCACCGGAACCTTGAGATCCGATAACAATTCAAGACCAACAATTGAATTGGCCTTAACTCCATTTTGTAAACAAACCTTGTAAGGCCATTTTCTCGCGAACTGAAACCTTCATTCGCAAACCTAAACCACAATCGGATGGCGGAGAATTTCCCCTACCTGCTCATTATGTTGGTTTGCCTTTGCGAACTTCGGTTTGCGAGAAAATGGCTTTACAAGGTTTGTTTACAAAATGGAGTTAAGGCCATTTCAATGGTTGGTCTTGAATTGCTGTTCGTACGCCATATTGTTTTGCTTTGAACAAACGTCACTTTGAACAAACGACGTATGATTTTTTTCACACATGCAACACGATTTTTTTTTTTTTTTTTTACCAAAAGTGCTTCTGAACGTGTTTCGCAGTTGGGTGTGGTGAAATTCGCGGTTGTTTTCAGTGAAAATTCCGTATCACAAATTTGCTCACCGAGTTCCCTGTTTTTGCCGTTCGACGACATCGGGAATGCGCTCCCGGATATATTGATTTGGTGAGTACGTTCCAGTTGAGGATTGTTCTTGCACATTTCTCGATTGCATTTTCGAGGGGACGTGTCTGCTTTTGTGGGCAGTGCGTTTGATGGTCGGTTTGGTAGTATCCTTTTAATAATATAATGGCTCATGTCTAAATAACCTCGATTTTCGGTCTATTGATTCAATACTTTAGTATTTATAATATTTTTTATTTTATTGCATATTTTATATAAATTATATATTACATGATTATATATAAATTCATAATGCAAATTACAATAAATACTGGGACGGGAGGGAGCATCAGGGCATCATTGAAGTTGTAACTGGACAATGGAGTGGAGTGCCAACCGGAGTCTAGGAGGGAATGTGTACTGTCATTTTAGATAGTTACATTTCACTCCAACAGTTGCAATGAATTTGACGCGCTCTTCTTAAACAAATCATCCCGTGGAAAGCTTAACATGTATTGCGAATTTCGTTATTCATTTTGTTGGATCATATTGTTGGAAGGAAATTCTCTTATTCCCGCGGGTTTCGCGTAAGTGCCTCTGGTTACGGGCCCGTCCAACCCTTTTTGGCCCTTCATACAGCAGTATGTTGAATTCAGAATGATGACGGAATTTGATCTTGCTGTTGAGTGGAGCCGCATGCAGGGCAAGACCCAAGCTAGGATGGTGGCTACTTACATACATACATACACATGCAACACGATTTTTTTTCGGGTGATCTAGATGGTTTTGTTCTAGATCTAGAGTTTGTTTTTATACGGCATTGGTTGTAACTATACCTCCGCTATTCTTTAAATACTTTTAGCCAATTTTAGCGCACGTTTACGCTCTCGTCTTTTAAGCATCGAGTACAAAGTAATGAACAATTGAATGGTCACAATTGCCAAAATTATGCATATTAGGAACTCGTGCTGTTCTAACACCTCACTATGGAGTTCTTGATTGTTGATAATACGCACTTGTGGGTCCGCATTGTGATTTACTGTTGATTTCGAATTGGATTTTCCCATTTTTCTTCACTTAACTTTATATTTCACGAGAATTCTTGTTTTGTCGAAATCACATTCAATATCACTCGCGTCGAACGCTGTTTTTACTTTGCCTACGGTTCGGCACCTGTCGTAAGGTAGCCATTTAATGTTCCGACTAGAGTCGGTGTATAATGAGTCACGCCAAGAGTGAAGCCAAGTCTACCTATTGAACTGTCAAACCGGCTACCTATTGTGCAAAGTAAACAAACATTACGATGCTATGAATGGTCCACGAAAGGTATTGCAATAAAATATAAAATAAAATTGAAGAAATGATCATAAACACGCAGTGAGCATTAAATTGTCATGGGATACGTTTGCTAATGATCAGTAATGAGAATTTCTACTATTGTTTGATAAGATAATTTGACAAAATCACTGATATAATGATTCACTACAGCCGCAATTTTTTGTTCTAGCTAGAAGTCATTTGAAGTTGATGTAGAGGTCCTCTGTTGCCAAGTGAAAAGAAAGGGAATCCTTCGAAAACCGTGATGCGAGTTCAACGTTTTTCTCTTGGCGTGACTCATTATACACCGACTCTAGCTCCGACATTCCCTGCGGCTTTCGGATGAAGAACGTGTGTACCATTAGGTGTCAAAAATACAATTGATTTATTTTAAGTCTTCTTGATGGTTAGAAAGAACCGGAACAGCAAAGTTTAAAAGTAGAATGGATTTTATTTAACGACTAGCTTGAGTGGAGTCTTGAACAGGAATGAAAAGTTTTTCACCGTTGTTTATTTAAGAAAACTTAGGTTGCTAGGGGTGACGTTCGGTCTCCAAGGAGGTGATCAGCACACTGCGTTACCGATTTACTCCAACAAGTGTTAATTCCTGCTCGAAGATACTTGGACACATTTTAAGTATATAAAGAACGCCAATCAGCGTGCAGTGATGAATGAGAGAATAGAGAGAGAGAGTGTGTATGGAGAAGGCATATTGAGCATATCGTTAGCATCCGTATTTCAATGTTGATTGGGTCGCATCGGATATTGCCCTTTGCGCTGTGTAAGCAATTTGCATGTGAATTTATAGTTTTCCCAGGTGATTGAAAATGCACCCGTAGTGAATGTGCAGTAACTTAATATTTTCTGATTTATTGATTAATAGGTATAATTTTGTATGCTACACAACAATCTCGTTCTAATCGACAGGCAAGAAACGCTCCACGTTTCCGACCAGATACAAATTCTTCTGCTGTTAACAACGGTTAGCGAGGAACAAATTCTACATTCGTACCCGTTAGTACAAATATCACCCCTGCTTCAAATTCTTCATCTATACCTACTCCCCTCGCTGCTAACAATATTCAGCTAGTTAATGGAGCTACTTATGCTGCTATTGCAGCGGATATAAATCAAAATACTAACCAACGTAATTATAACGGAAAATTTGAAAATTTCGACTTAGGAAGCATTACTGTTAATTAATTGACATGATTACTGATATACTTAAAACTAACTCAATGTTAGATGCTATTTAAACTAGAGTAAAATTTGCGAACAATATTGTCATGACTTTGAAATTCAGTGATGGATTTTAAATCATTAAATATTTTAAATTTGAATGCTCGATCTCTTAAAGATAATGAAGACGAGCTATTTAAGTTTTTGAGAGTTCATATCGTGCATATTGCCGTTATAACTGAAACGTTCCTTAAATAAATAAGGTTAAAAGGGACGCAACATTATTTCATTGATAGAAATGATCGTCGTGGTGGCGTTGCCATCATTATTCATAGACGAATCAAACAAAAAATTCTTTCTTCATTTGAAATCAAAGTTTTTGAAACTTTGGGAGTTTCTGTTGAAACAAAATTTAGACAACTTACGTTTATAGCTGCCTAATTATTATTATTATTTAACTTTATTAATGAGGCTTTCAGCCTTGGGCTGGTTCGCCTCCACTAGCTGCCTAATGCGTAGGCCAGCAAAAGAATTTTCTCAAGTGTGACCTTCAGAAACTTACCCGTCATAGGTCTAAATTCTTAATTATTGGTTATTTTAATGCAAAACACCGCACATGGAATAATGCCCAAAGCAATTCCAATGGTAATATTCTGTTTGGTGATTGTTCTGCAGGTTATTACACTATTCAATATCCAAACAGCGCAACATGCTTTTCTTCAGCAAGAAATCCCTAAACTATTGATTTGGTCTTAACTGATTCATGTCAACTTTGTAGCCAATTGGTTACCCATGCTGACTTTGGTTCTGATCACCTTCCAGTAACTTTTGAAATAACCCAAGAAATAATTTCTAATCCCAACAGCTCTACTTTCAATTACCATAGAACTGATTGGGAGAAATATCGAACATTTATGGAATATAGCTTTGATCCAAACATTCCTTTGCAAACCAAAGATGAAATTAATTATGCTCTTGAATTTCTGACTACTTCTATAGTTCAAGCAAGAGCTGCCTCAGTACCAAAATGCGAGGTTAAATTCGATTCAATTATAATAGACGACGATCTTCAGCTCTAAATCCGTCTTAAAAATGTCCGTAGGAGACAATATCAAAGAACACGCGATCCTGCCATGAAAGTTATCTGGCGGTATTTGAAAAAAAAAAACAATTAAAAAGCGATTCTCTG